CAGGGAAAAAGAGTTTTTGTTTTTATTATTATTTCCTACCTTTTTTTTTCTCTCTAACAAAAAATAACTCACTTTTCAGCTGTTGGAGAACGGAGTAATTGATCTAGAGCTTTGCAGTTTGCCTTCCGGAATGGTTTTATTCTTGATGTAGGAATAAAATTCTGTTAGGTCAAATACACAGCAATAAATACAAGAAGCACATTAACTTTAATATATTGGATTATTCCACTTGCTGGTGACAGGGAAAAAAACAAGATTTAATTCCCCTGGCAATGCAGGCAAAGAAAATCACTTTCCCTGCCCATGTTTTTTCTGTTAAGCCATTTTTGTCTGTCAGTGCTGGTGCTGCAGGCTTTGGTGGGGTTTAATTTTACTTTTTTATTTTAACCTGGTGTGAAAGTAGGAAGTATTTTCTCCAAGTAGATTGTTCACAAATTCTTTCCATGCCTTTCATTTCCAGCTGTTGCAGGCTCCTTTTCTACTGAGTTGTGTGGAACTCTCAGCGCTGTCAGTAAAAGGGGGATTTTCAATGTTTTAGCTTCACTCTGCCATAGGAGTGGGGCTTCAGCACAGGTGTTCTCCTTTTTCCAAGTGTGCTGGTGTTGGTTTCTCTTCCTACCTTGAAGGTTCTCAGCTAAAACCAGGATTTGCTTTTCCATGCCAACTATTTCTGTGAAGTGCCACAACATCTGCTGCACCTTCCCTTCAGTCCCACACGCCATTGATGTCTCAGGGCTCTCATGCTGTGGTAAATGTACATTAATGACTCCCAAGTGATGCTCCTTGCAGTGCTGAAGCCTTTTCAGTCCTTGTGCTGAGTCTTTCCCCATTTTTCTGGGAGAGCAGTGATATTAGAAACTTTTCCCACAGTCCTTGCCCTTTCACAGATTTCTGGTTTATATTGGAAAAATGGCAGATGAGGAGAGGCAGGAATTATTTCTCTGCTTGTCATCATGGCAGAAAGGTAGAGGATGGTTCTGCTATGGAGCAGGCAAATAGCAGAAAGACTACAGCAGGGATTTTGGGTGAGAGAGGAATCATCTCAGCATGGTGGAGGAGTGTGACAAAGGATTTGCAGGGGTAAAGCCTTTCTAGCCAGAGAATTTTGAAAAAGACTGGACAGATCTGTGTCAGGAGAGGTGTACAGCTGGGAAGGGATCTGAGTTAGACAGGAGAAGGGGACTTGGAGCAGGCAGGCTTGGGTTGTAGAGTTGGAAGTTTGAGTGTTGGTTCCAAAGCATCTCCTGTGTGCAAGTCAGCAGGAGAGGCTGTGGAAAAGCAAGGAGGGAATGTCTGTGGGAACCCAGAGCTTCCCTCTGTCTGTCCAGGACCCTGCCAGGGGGCTCAGAGACCCTGGCACAGAGCCCAGAACGCCCCTGGGTTTGATTATGACCCGTGGAGCAAATTACCAACCTTAGATGAAGATCTGCAAGCCACAACAGTTTAAGGAGAATATTAGTGAAGTTATCACGGGGTGGAAAAGTAGATTTGGGGGTTTTTAGAATGAGGGTTCAGGGGGCAAGATGGAGGAATCTGGGCGTGTCCAGCCTTTCTCCTTCTTCTTCTTGGCCTCCATCTTGTGCTTGATGTTGGCACTTTCAGATTGGTTTAGAGTAGAAGCTCACTGTCTAACATAGGTTATAGGTATTGGGAAGTAATTGGAAATATTGCATGTGTAGTTTTTAGTATAAAGACATAACACTGTCCTGAGGGCAGGCAGAGTGCCTGGAACTGAACTGCTGGACGGACCTCGGCAGGGTAGGAGAAAGAATTTTATGGATAAGATACAAAGAACAACCTTAAGACTGAGAAATGAAGAGCCCTGACTCCTTCTTCAAGCACCAGGCTGGGAAAAGAGACTTTCTAACACATCTCAGGGTCACTGTGACCAGCTAGAGACCCTGACAAGTGCCTGTGTGGGTAACTGAGTCTTTGTGGTGTTTTCATCTGTCCAGACAGAGTTACCAATAAAGCAATCTCCTGCACCAGCACACACACTCTGTCTGCTTGTATTTGTNCCCGGGAGCTGCTCCGCACCTGCCGCCTGGTGTGCTCGCAGTGGCGCTACGTGGTGGACCTGAACACGCTGTGGAAGCGCAAGTGCCAGCGCGATGGGTTTTATCGTCAGAGCTATGACAGGAGCATCTCGGACTGGAAGATCTTCTATATGCTCTGCCACATGAAGAAAAACTTACTCAAAAACCCTCGTGCTGAAGGTTGGTTTCGTTATTTATAATAAAGGACTAAGAGTTTCTGAGCAGTCTAAATGAGTCATGCCTCAACTTCTGCTTGTGCTGTGGGACTGTCCAGCTCTTGGGTTTAGCTCTGCTAGGTCAGATTTATAGCTCAGCTCCTGCAGTAAAACTGCTGTAGATAGATACATAGATATGTATTTACCAATACTTTGTGGTTTTAGCCAGAAAAATCTGGAGTCATAAGGCCCCAGTACAGCAGGCAGTGACAATTAATTTGCACTGCAAGTACAATGTGGTAGTGAAACGATCAGGGATTGGATTAAACATTTGGGCAGCTGGAGAACTTTTGTTACCAAAGACTTGACTAATATAACTACAGTAATCCTACTTTATTGCTGCTGCTGATTTTCTGATGAGGTCAGAAATCTGCTGCCCGCTGTCCTAGATGCTGACAGCCACATAAAGGTAATGACAGCATAATGACAGGAGTCACAGCTGTAGGAAAAATACAGTGGATCTGAAAACATCAGGTAGCTTCCTAAAATTCTCCTGTTGCTGATTCTAACAAAGCTGAGATCCTGCTGGTAGCTGGAGTGAGGTCCTAACCCTCACCTTGGACATCTGTGTTTTTAGAGAACTTCAAGCACTGGACAATTGATGCCAATGAAGGAGATAAGTGGAAAATTGAGGATCTGCCTGGAGCTCATGGAAGTCATATGTCAGACCCCAGAGTACAAAAATACTTTGTCACTTCATATGGGTAAGAACTGGATTCCAGTGGAACTGGGAAACCTGCTCCCTCCCACCTGCCTGAAAAGGCACCATGGCTAGAAGGCTGGTGGCAGGTCCTGAACCTTAGATCACCTGTGGGAAAAGGAAGGAGCTTCATTAACCCTTTATACCAGTTAATCTAAAGAGATGGGTCCTGCTGAGAGAATTGATCACAGCAGGTGCTAAATTTCTCTGCCTACCAGGAACTTCCTGTAATTTTTATAGTTAGGATACTCCACATGGAATCCCTGCTTCTCCTCTCCCAAAGGTGGTGGAGAAAGGTTGATTGAGAAAATCAACTGTACTTACATGAAAAGGTCAAAGCTCTGTAAGCTTCAGGAGCGGTGGGTGTGTCACACAAACAACTTGTAATAAAAGCTGTCACCAGAGGAGGATCAACAGCTTTTACAAGCACTAGGCATTGGTTTCCTGTTACCAGTACATCAATACAGAGACTCCTCTTAATCCAGCTTGTAGGTAACTATTCTTTTTATCTTGGGGTGAAGCTAATTCAGTTCATTTTCTTGTCAGGTTCTGGCTATGGAAAAGGCAGGGTTTAGCCAGGTCAGCTTTGTGGGCCTTCGGGATCTGGGTGGGTATTAAAGCTGTCAGGGAAAGGACAGCAAGAGAGAAGTGTTCTGTAGAACTATTTCTATGTCTGTTTCAGGCCATGCTTCAAGTCTCAAATCATTACCCTGGATAAAGAAGGCTACTGGAATCAGCTGATGGATGAGATACGGCCTGAAATTACAGTCAAGGACTGGTGAGTGGAAGCACTGAAAAGTAGAATTTCTAGCATTGGTCTAGAGGTAAGCTAGGCTTCTGGAGCTTTTCATGCCATAAAATCAGTTCTTTATTCTTTGGGAGTTATTGAGTGAAGAAGAAGCTAAATCTAAATTTACTTAATGGACTACACGGTGGCAATCCTGTGAAGGGTGGGATAGCTGTAACTTCCACAACTTCTCTATAGCTATGGGGATGACACTCCTTTACTCCTTTTCCTCTGCAGACAGGGATCCCCTTGGAGACTGCTTTTGAAAAATAAAGGCCACTGAATGCTGTGTATACAGCCCTGCTCCTTGATTCCTCCTGCCCCTCCAGGTACGCTGCCAGGTTTGACTGCGGGTGCCGCTACGAGCTCACCGTGAGGCTGCTCTCCAACGACTGGATCTGCCTGCAGGAATTCCATCCTGAGCCAGTGGTCATTGAGCAGTGGAGCGATGCCCAGTGGAGAGAGGTGAGCAGCAGCCAGGGAGGCAGGAGCTTCACTGCAGTGTTGTGACACTGGTGTGTTGCAAGTTGGCCAGAAGTGCCAGTGGACTTTCTCTGCTCTTCAGCCTCCCCTGCTCTTGCTGTTGATGATGCTGAAGAAGCAGTGGTGTCCTGAATGAGACAGCTAATATTTTTAGGTGCCCAGCATTTTCTATAGAGTATCCTGTGGGCTTCTGTGTTGTTTTAATGCAGTCTTTTAATTGTTTCTTGTTTTTATGTAAGATTCTGTCTAAATAATTAAATAACAAGAGCAGATTTCAGGGCCTTTTTTGATCAAAAAACTGCTATTTAAAAATAGCAAAGTATTGCAGACTTTTCTTAAACTGCTACAGGTGTTTAACTGGTTTGATTTGCTGTACATTCTGCATTAGATGTCACTTAAACATGCACTTAAAAATCAAGCTTAATGTTAGTATTACAGTTTGATGCTGACACAATGTCAGTGCTCTGAAATTAAGGTTTATCTTTTATAGATGGGATAGCTTAGTTAGCTTAACACAGATAGGATTCTGGGGAGAAGGCTGAGTGAGAAAAGCTTCTTTCCTTCTCCTGTCACCCTCTCCTCCCCAAAAAAACAGGGTATGGTGCACTTTCAGTGAAAGCTATCTAGGCTCAGGAAGGGCTCACTCTAAGACTCATACACTGTAGTTTTCTGAGCTTCTAGGTGAACGCTGATTTATTCAGGCAAATTAAGAGGAATTCTCTTTTCTGTGCAGATTTCTCACACCTTCCAGAATTACCCAGCAGGAGTTCGTCACATCTGGTTCCAGCACGGAGGCCAGGACACCCAGTACTGGGCAGGCTGGTATGGGGTGCGTGTGACAAACAGCAGCATCACCATTGGGCCCCCCAGCTCACTGTGAGCCACTCTGGAAGGGTTTGCTTTTACCTCAGGACTGGAACCAAGTGGCCTCAGGTGCACTGTCTGCCTGTTCTGTCTGGGTGTGTCCTAGCTTTGTCTTGCAGCTCATATTCACAGTAGAATTCAGCAGGCCCAGCCTTTTGGGAGGGTGTTCTGTCTTCATCTTCCATTCTCTTCTACCATGGATGCTACTCCAGTTACTGGTGTCCTTCCAGAGAAAAACTGGGACAATTAAATATGGGATCTATCTTTTCTAGTTAATACATTATTATGCTAACACACAGAGACTTAAAGACACTTTCATGTTTATGGAATATAGGAAAGATAAGGCTAAAATGCTTAATTTCAGATTATAAATGGTATCTACAAGGACTCTGCCACAGCTTGTCATGTATGGTATTTTCTTTCCTGTTTCAGTGTTAAGATTTATGATCTGCATCAGACCTTTCATAGCATCAGGAAACTGTCACCCCTTGTCCCTAAGTGCTGTGTCACTGGTAGTGAATTCCTTACCCTTTCTCTAAGTGTGTATGATCAAAATGATGCAAAACAGTCCCTTGGTGTTTGAATAAACAGGTAGAGAAAGAGGAGGTAAGAAGTCCCTTCAGACAGCTGCCTAACAACACAAGTGCCTTTTGATTGTGCTGGGCTTTTCCCACATCACCTTTGGTTTGTACTGAGCAGTGTAACCCAATATAAAATGTTAAAGCAGTGCCCAGACTTGTTCTATAATGTTCCTACACTTGTTCCTTGGAGGAAGCAGAAGGTGCTGGACAGGCTAGTGTACCAAATTCTCTGACAAACAAGCTCAGCTTGTTTGAACTGAAGGTCTCCCACCCTTATATACCCAGAACTGATGTTAAGGCCATGTTCCATCTCCTTTGACAGGTGTAGGATTATTAGTGCTTTCCTTGCTTATTCTCAGTTAGGAGTAGGATACTTGGCAGATGTCCTTGCTGGACAGACAAATTCCACATTGCTAATGCCACCTCTGAGTGAAAGGAGAGAGACCAAGGTTGTACAGCCTTTCATAGGAACTGACAGAGTCCATATACGGGCAGAAAAGAAAATAAAAATACTTCTTTGCTGAAGAAGGGAGCCTGGTTTTGACAGAACTCAGCCCAGTTCAACTGGGGTAAAACTTGGTATTTATTGAAGACTGCTTGGGATGGTCACAGTGGACAGACACTACATAAGGCCTCACTCCCCCTTAGCACAAGTGTTGATCCCATGACTTTGTGACAGCTCCTAGCTGTCTGTCACTGCCTGTGTGCAATGGAGCTGCCCTTTCCAGGTGAGAACTGGACTGGTAATAAAGCACTGACTCCCCAGGGATGCACTGCATCAACACCTGTGCTCTCACACAAGTCAAGATGGGAACAGGCTCTGGCTCCCCATTCCAAGTCAGTTCTTTATACAGTGGTAAGAGCACTTGAAATAAAGAGGCAGCAGCTGCTCTACATTCACCCAGAAGGCCAGCTGAAGAGATGGTTATCAAGATACAGTTTGTGACAGATCTTACTCCACTGGAAGATCAGATGAAGTTTGAAGGCAAGGAAGATTTGAAATCAGGTGCCTTTGTGAGCTCGCTCTTCTACGTAGAGCTGCATCTGGAGAGAGAAACAAGGAACAGTCCTGTTGGTATACAGGTAGGTGAATGGGAAAAAAAAGCCTGCAAGAGACTGAATAGGAAGTGCTTATACCTTCCCCCATAACCAAGTTTCCTATTTTACTATGAGGAGTCTTGCCCTGCTTTGATCACTGGCACAGACATCTGCAAGACTAAGCTACTGCTCAGCAGTATGTTTTAAAGTTGTTACACCACAGAAAATTGCAGAGCTGATATCAGAGCATTCACAGTTCAGAACCACAGCAGGTTCAGCACCTCTTGGTCAGCATGCCCTGCTCACCTTTAGGATGTCAGATGTCATGGTTTTCAGGGGAATGAGCCGGGGGTCGTGCATGTGCACGTCCTGCTCGTCAGCGAGGATCCAGGGGAAATCCTGGGGGCAGGAACACAAGGAGGTGTCACTGGCAGAACCCAGCAGTGCTGTGAGGGGAGCTCCTCCTCAGCACTTAAGCTGAAAGAGGGACAAGAGTGGCTGAGGGAAGAACAGGTAATTCAAACCTTCCCCTACAACAAAACTTAACATTTACACGCTTGGCCCTGACACTCAGCATAAATGTCTTCAGTTACAGCATCAAACTGTGAGGTGAACCCACTGCATTTACTGCAAAGGTGACATCTCACTTCTTTAAAAGATACACTCTCTGCTGTCCTGAGCTACCCTGCCCAGTTCATTACACCAAGATTTAACTGCAACTCCAGAATGCTTAGGGCATGGGTTTCCATCCTGCTTTGGAAGTCTAAAGTTGGGTCTACTACACCACAAGTTTCCGTTACTGAGCAGTGCAGAACAGACTTTCATTTTGAAACAATTTTATACTTTGCTAGCTTTATTTGTTGTGCCTTAGGACACATAAAATAATTGACTCAGGAAAAAAGTTTCCCTGTATCTAAGCAAAGATTCTTTGAAAATAATCTTCCTTTAGAAAGTGTAAGATACAATGTATTTGTGCCCCCAAACCTACTCATTTGTTTAATCGTAGTCTTTCTTGCTCTTTATACATAAATGGATGGTGGGTGAGGGCTGCTTTTCTGCTTGATTAAATTAAAGAACCTATTCTACATGCCTGAGTGTTTCTAAGTGTCTGAGCAAGCACTGGACAGTGAGCATTGTTACAATCTATTTAATTTAAAGTTGTCTGCAGTGGTGGCTGTGTGTGGAAAATGTGCTGTCACCTCACCAGCATTTACCATTTCCCCACATTTCAAGTACAGTTATGATGTGTCTCATGTGACACCAACCTACATGTTCAAAATATCTCTCAGCCTTAACCTTAAAGATGCCAAAAACTCTGCAGTGCCCAGTCTTTGCTGTGCAGCTTCTCACACACAATCAGGTGCCCGAGGCCATCACTCACCTTTATCACCTGGATCTTTTCCATGTTGCGTGTGGCCGCCTCCCGTGTGTGAACCAGAACTGTGAAGGTGCAACCTAAGGGAAGTGTCAGGTTCCAGCTCAGGGCACAGCTCCCAGAGGATCAGCCAAGCCAAGCAATGCCAGGCCTGAGGCTGTCTGCATCCAGGTGACATTTACCTGGGGGGTTGTTGTCCAGCACAGCATCACACACGCTGATTTTCAGGATGAAGGCACGCAGTAACTGCTCCACGTGGGACAGCAGGGACTCAGAACTGTGGAGGAGACAGAACTTGTTACTGGCATGCAGCAAAGGCCTGAAGTTGTTCCCAGAATGTCTCCCAGGGCTGGGTGCTGGATGCCAGGGGCAAACAGGAGTGGAAAGCTCACCTAATGGAAAGGAGAGGTGGTTGGGTGATCTCAAAGACAAATCTCTCCACGGGGTGGTGCTCTTTATCCAGAATTACAACCACGACTTTCTCCACATCGTTCTGCAGGAACCAAGACAGAAAAATCCCTCAATACGAGCTGTCTGCTGCCCACAGTGTGCTTTACATTCTTTGATGCAGTGGAGTACACTCAGTTGTCAGGGCTCACAGCACAAGCCCTTATCCAAAATCTGACTTCAGATTATTCTTAGCAATCAGAAAAAAAAATGCTTTTGCAAAGCCATTTCTTGCTGGGTGTTAAGCTGCCAGCTGGTGGCTGAGGCTGAGGGAGATGAAGTGTGCTAAACAGTACATTGCTCTAGGTCCTGTTTTGGAACAAAGAAGGAAATGCACAGCCTGATTGACACTGATGGAGTTAAGGCCATTGACCAAACAGAGCAGCTTTGTACAACCCCAATTTAGAACAGACCTTATTCCATTTTCTACACGTGCATTAAAATTGTCTGTAAAGAGCAAGGCATAGAAAACCTGCCTGGAATGTTTCATTGGTCACATCCTTCTCTCACAAAACCTGGAGTCCAGGCCTACCTTTGCTTCCTAGTTCTCAGCAAAGCATTCAAACTGTTCTGCCACAGCAGGTGCTTAAACTCAAGTGGATTGCAAAGCAGAATGCTGGGTGATGTAACTGGAAATATACAGACATGTGTCCTTGTGTGCTATATGAGACAAGGCAGGGTCTTGTCAGGAAGGTTATGATGTTTTTAGTTTTGTTAGGAACTTTTATCACCTAGTATACTGTGTATGGTAAATTTGTAAACAAATGTTGCTGTTAAGATAATATTTATGTTCTCTCACTTTCTATTAAATCCACTTGCAGTACTTTTGCCCAGTCTGAGCTCACCTTCTCCAGCAGAGGCTTCACACAGTGCAGCGTGTCCTGGATGTACTGGTTCAGCTCTGGGTGGCAGGACATCTGCAGCAAACACAGGAAGAGTCAGAGCTGTGTTGGACATGAGCCAGGACAATGCTAAAATGGAAGATTTAAACAGAAGCACCAGTGTGTACAAGGAACTCAAGTAATGCTCCAAATAGTGCTGGAAAATGCTGAGTTGCCCATTCAAATCAGCAATTGTTCCAGGGAAGGGTTAACCAGCTGAGGCAGATCACTGCACCCATGCAGTTGTTGTGTATCTGGAATGGATACCCAGAACAGCATATGGAATAGCATATTCCAACCATCCCTAATTCCTAGTGAACATCACTCCTGTCACGTCCCTGCACGGAGCTGGGGCAGCCTTCACTACTGTTATCCATGACCTGCTTGTCCCATGAGCACTTTTTGTATCCTCTCTTATGACAGGAACTAAGCTCTCCCCAAAAATAATCACTGTACATTAAACAATCACTTTGCAAAGTGCAAGTTTTTTCTCCTGAGTGTTGATTGATCCTTGCTATTTTGCTTGTCCATGTGGCTGTCAGCTTCCAGGAAAATCTCCTACCTGGACAGGTACATTGTATTTTTTCCTCTTCTGAAAGATCCCAATAGGGTAAACTTCTCTGACATACAAGATGAGGTGAACAGCCACTTCCAGGAATTCTGAAAGAACATCTGCAACAACTGAAAAACAGAAGGATGCTGGAATAAGGTGTGGGAAAGTAGAGCAATACCAGAGACTCAAAGGACCTTTTTTACAGGTTAATTTTTTCTGCATTAATTTCACCTGCCTCCTCTTAGCTGCAGAAAGTTTAGGGACAGAGCAACCCTACAACACTCCCCCAAGAGGAGCCTCACAAGGACACCAGATGCAGCTTGGTACAACACTTTACCTTGCCCAAAGTTAAGGTCCTGCCGTGTGAGAGTGGTCATCTTCCCCAGACCCTGGAAATAAGCACAAAAGGAATGGTTATCCTCTGGCTCCTGTATTGTTCATCCAGTCAGATCATGGAGCTAAACCCTATAAGCCCAGCACATCCTCAGGCATTACCAGCAGTGCACAAACCAGTGCCACACCTCAGGATGAGAAATTATCCATCATCTAATTCCTGGGGTTTTCAATCTCCCTTTCTGGGATACAGGAAAGTCCAGACAAATACTTTCTAGTAACACAAGAAACACTGTTTTTTAAAGCTTCATAGTATTTGCCTTTTCTAAGCCCTATCTCTTCCTGTAACACAAAAACTTCTTGGGGTTTAGGGTTTATTCTAACACCACCACCAACATTGCTTGTCCAAGCTTGGGGCTACATCTTCCACTGACACACCATCAACAACTTCTGAGTTTCCCTCTGCAGTCCCAAGGAACCCAAATCCTGCAGAGCTACATAATTAAGTCAACTTTGTGACACAGGATTATGGAATTCCTCAGGGTGGAAGGCACCTATAAGGATCATGGAGTTCAACTCCCTGCTCCTCACAGGACCACCAAAAACTAAACTATGTGATTTAGAGCATAGCTCCTTGAACTCATTCAGCTGCTCCTTGAACTCTGACAGGCTTGGGCTGTGACTGCATCCCTGGGGAGCCTGAAATTTGTGAGCAACAAAGGGCAGCACATTATTGTGGCAAACTGACAATCAAACAGCAGATGCTGGAGTTCAGCTTCCCAACAGCTTTCCCTGCATAGCAGACTCCATGCCTTACATAATTTATGTCACATTGTGTACATAATTATCTATTAGAAACTTTATTTTGTTTAATTATTTTACCTCTGCAAGCCAACAAATTCAAACCACTAACAGCAGCACCGTTCATGAACTGTAGAGATCTTTAAATGCCTCTGGAGCACTCTGGCTCCACCAGTAACTCAGGTTTTCTACAAAGACTTTTGACAAACCACAGATGTTCCAATAAGCTCTATAGACATTAATTTTCAAGCTGTTTCATCTGCAATAAAATGTTTTCAGACCTACAAAGAATTAGTTCAACCTGCACAAAACAGGGAGCTACTTTCAGCCCCAGTTTTTGAAACAGAGTTGTACCCTTGTATACAAGGACTTACTGGAATATTAGTGATCTGCTACACTAAATACAATTAAGATAGTTAACAATCTCTCTGGCACCCCAGCCACAGTGGCTCTCAAATTAGTACAAAACACCTACAGAGTATCATAATCTGTGTTTTCAGAGGTTCAGCCACAGGACACCTAAATCTTTCAGAGAAAGACAATTTATTGCTCCCTTATCAGAAGAAACTAACTTCTTCCTGCCTCACTCAGCCCTGAAGATGCTGTCAGGATTCAAAGGAAGAAGTGGACACTGCCCAGACAGAATCCTGTGTTTGAATGGAATTTCTGCATCATGGATGAGCTGTATGAATATGCAACAGACTGTTACTTTTAAGGGTTAATCCTCTGTTAATGTGGGTCCTTTTTTGGGCTTATTTTGCCCAGAAAAAGGTACCTGGACTCTCCATGTCTCATATTGTCCTAAATCCTAATTATCCAAATTTTTATTACTCTAATTATATTACTCTTTTTATAACCATTTTATTACTATTAAACACTTAAAATTCTAAAAACAAGTCATTGGCGTTTTTCACACCCTGCCAGAGGCAGGGCCACCCTCCACTATCCCAGGCTGGTACCAACTCCATCCAACCTCGGACATTCCGGGGATGGGGAATATCATAAATATCGTAAATATAACCCAGCGCCCTCCTTGCGCATATCACGGGAGTTCCGCACCAGCCCAGAGCAGCGCGCACAGGCCACTCCAGCAGCCCGGACGTGCCGTGCCCGCTCCTGGGCTCCGGTCACCACCGCACCGTTACCCGAGCTCCCGTTACCGCCGCTCCCTCACCCGGGCTCCCGTCATCGCTGCTCCCTCACCCGGGCTCCCCTCACCGCCGCTCCCTCGCCCACTCCTCGTCTCAACCGCACGGCACCGCCTTTCCTCAGCCTGAGAACCGAGCCTGGCAAACGCCCGCCCGCAGCTGCTCCCTCCCGGAACGGGGCTCCTCGGATGGCTCCACTGCCGCCCAGCGCCCCGCCTCAGCACGGCCACCTGTCCCCACGTCTCCCCGTGTCCGCCCGGCGGTGCTCCCCACCCCGCTGTCCCCCTCCCGCTGTCCCCGCTCCGTACCGGGCCCGCCGCCCCTCACGGCGCCCAGCGCGGGAAGCGGCGGCGGCAGCGCCTGCGGATGACGCCATGGCGGGGCGGTAGCAGCGCCCCCCGGCGGGCGGGAGGAGCGGGCGCGGGTCGGTCCCGCTGCCCCGCGGGGTCCCGGCACCGCCACAGCTCCCGGGGCACGGCGGGGCCGGGGCTCGGTGCACAGAGCGGGGCACGCTCAGCCCCCAGCGGCTCTCCCTCCCCGGGACCATAACGCGGGTAAAGCGCGCGGGAGAGCGGAGCCCGCCGCACCGCGCAGGTGAGCGGGGCTCACCGGCTCCCCGCCTCCCCGGGCTGCCACGCCTTTGTCTCCGGTCTTTGTCTGTCCCGTCCGTGCCCGGGGCAGGGAGCGCTGCTGCCACCAGCGCCCTGCGCTCTCGCACCCACCTCCTCCGTAGCACGCTGCCCTGGCATGGCCCGCACTCCTCCTGAGCCCCCCGCACGCCCAGAGCCCCTCCGCCCCTCGCAGCCCCACCTCCTCCGGCACCATGCACCCCAGTCCCCCGGGATTCCCCATGTCCCCGATTCCTCTCCACATTCCCCCACTGCCTTCCCCCTGTCTCCTCCTCCTCTTCCTCCTCCTCCTCCTCCTCTCCTTTCGGGTTTGAACACCCCCTGCCCCCCGCAGACCTGCCTCCCCTCCGCCGCTCGCACAGCTCTGCCCTGCCCTGCCCGCCAGGCTCTCCGGACCGGCACCTCCGGACAGGTAAGCAGCGCTGCCCGCGCCGCTGGATGCTCCGCCGAACTGAATCCCCTCCGCTATCTCAGGGGCTGGGGAGGAGTGGGGAGCACCTTCCCACTTTCCGTGCGCCCCGGAGCAGACAAAGACTGGCGGGGCTGCCCGGTCCTGCAGCGGAGCTCCGGTTACGGCGGCATCGCTCCGCTCGGACAGCGCCGGGGCAGGGGCGCGGTGCCTTCGGCCGGACCTATTGTCACCCGTGCTGGGGAGCGCGCTCCGGACTTTGCGGGTTTTACCACACGGGTCGGCTCCGTGCCCGGTGCCTCGCAGGGATGGATGCGCGGTTCGGGCTCTGCGACACGCGTCCCGCCGCCCCGCTGTGGGTCATTCCTGCCAAATTCCTCCCCACATCACTCTGGGAGGCAAAGTCTCCTCGGACAGAGGCACCGTCCCTCTCTCAGGGTCTGAGCCCCTCGCACACCCCAAAGGAACGTCCCGGCTCCGAGCCAGCGATGCCGAGGGGAGATCCAAGCTTCTCCCACCGAGTCATTGTGTTTACAGAGCCCCTGCGTACCCGCGGCTTGCTGTCTGTTCTTCTTCTGTTGAGAAAAGTGAGGTCTCGTTTCTGAATTAAATCAGCTTGGCATCAGTTAATGGCTTATTGCAACTAGTAATTAATCACGCAGAATTTAAGTGGCGCTTATCCAATTCGCACCTGAAGTTTTCTGTCAGCTGCAGGGTTTAGTGGAAGTGGTTTTGTATTGCCGTGTCCTCTCTCTTGAGAAAGGAGGCATTAATATATATGGTTCAAAGTGAGAATATCATGCAAGGAAGGATGTTGAAAACACAGTCTAACTGTTTTGCCAGTCGAGACACATCCCTGTCTCCCTCCCAGCAAAGATCAGGGCAAATCTGCCCCATTCTTCCCTGTAACACCGGCGAGTACTTTCCAGCTGGGTGAGCAGTGACCTCTCCTATTGATTGTGTCCCATTTGTCACCTGGCATTGGGCACAAAACCGAACAGTCTTCTCTGCCATGCTGACAGCAAGCAACCCTATCTTGGGTGTGAATCTGAGGCTCACTGCTGTTTTAGTCTCTTTATTGGGTAGAGCAGGCTCTGTTTGATGGCAGGTCGCCTGTGATGCTGTGATGAAGTCCCAAAGGGAAGCAGAGCAGAGGGTTCTGCATATTCATTCACGGGCCCCCCTTGCCCTTCAAGACAGTGGCTTGCTGGGCTGACCAGTCCCTGGCAGATGTTGTGCTGGGAAGCTCTCAGGGCAGCAGAAAGAGCGGCTCAGCTGTGCCTAGGGGCATGTATTGACTCGAAGGTGTCCAGTGTCAGCCAAAGCCGGGGTGCTGGAGCTCAGCAGGGACTCGGGCAGCTCACAAGCCTGGGCTGCAGGGCAGGGAGCTCCCTGGGCTGTGCTGTGTGAACAGATGAGTTCTGTGCTCACCAGGACAGCAGAGCACAGGCTGTCAGTGGAGATGATGGGTGAGGGGAGTCCCAGTTCCAGCCCTACAACTAATGTTGAGTGAATCAAGTTTCAAGTGGTCACTGGATACAGGGAGAGGCTTTGTGAAGGCACAGGGGTAGCTACAACTACTGCTTAATGCCTTGCAAGCCTGAACCCTTATTTATTTATTTCCCTTACTAATACATGAACCCTAAGAAAACAATGAATTCTGGGCTTTGTTGTAACACGTGTTTGTTTATAGCAATTTAGGAAAGGCAGCTCCTTACAATCCTTATGTCCTGTCTCTCCTGCCACTAATGCAATTGGTGTGTTACTGAATTTGGCCCTTTCTATTCTGGAGTGCAAAAGTGAGAGAAAACAGCACAGGTAAAGGAACCAGGTGTTTCAAAGGGCAAAGTGGAGGGGGTGTTCAAGTAGCCTGAATATCTGCAGAGAGGAAATGTCTTGCATCACAGTCAGGAGGGACAAAGAAACTTTGGGGTCCAGTAAGTATGAAAGGCAAGATAGGGAGGAATGGTGATGATGGAAGCAGGAAACCTAAAAAGCAGGGCAGCTCTGAAAAGGAACACAAAAGGACTGAAGATCTGTGAGCAGGGAGCTGTTCTGTCATCCCAAGGATGTCTGGGACAACTGCAAAAACAATTCTTTACAAATTCTTTACAAATCTTGTGTGCAGGAGATGTTGGAAAGAATAAAAATCTTAGTACTTTTGTCCTGGAAATGAAAAGAGAAGGGCAAATATTACCTGCCTGCTTTGGGAAACCCCACAAAGCTGGGATTGAGCTTTTAGAAATGGGAAAGTCTCTTGGCAGATTGTCTGTGAACCTTCCCAGCGTTTGCCTCCAGAAACAGAAAAACAGATGGAAAGAGACCCAGCAGGGAAGTCAAATCTCATTTATCTGCACAATGCCATCCTCATGGCTCCAGCCAGCTCTCTGCATGTCAGCCACCACAGAGCCCACCCCATCCATTCTGCTCCAGGCCTTCTCAAGCCCATCCATCACCCCATGGCTCCTCATTTGCAGGGAGCCTGGCACACAGAGCTGGCTTTATCGTCTGCCATCCCTGCCACACAGGCACACACACACAACACCCATGCAGATGCCCACACATTTTGTGTGTTGCTGCAGATTGGGGTTGTCTGGAGTCCAGGAAATCTTTACACATGTCTGCCAAAGTCTGAGCTTATCAGAGCCAAAAAACAAATCTAGCCCAGCACATGTGCTTGGGTCCAGCTTGGTTCAGCCCTTGAGCATAATAAATGCATCAAAGATCTTGACAGTCTCTCAGTTCAAGGGTTTTGTTCCTCTTGGGTGTGACATGAAGAAATGTGCAAAGTTAAAGCTAGGACTGTCAGATATCATGTTTTAAGCGAGACACGTGAGTGGATGCAGATGATCTAATGTTCCTGTTTTGTCAAATCCAAACCAAATACACCAGGAACATTTTCAGAGCCTATTTCGGAGCCAAGGTGACACAACTGTATTTATAGCAGAAAAACATGAGAGAATTTCCATGTACCTGCTCAATCCTTGCAGGATTACAAGCAGAGAGCAGAAAACCAGCAATTATATTAGTGAGTCCAGAGAAGACTTCCCACAGGGAAAATTATCCAAAATGCAACTCCCCACCCCCCTCAATTTCACTTATGGGGTTGTAAACATCCACTGATGTCTTAACCCAAAATGGATCAGAAATTGTGGCTGGAAAACAGCACTGCAACTCACTGCCCAGCCCTGAGTCCACACTCTGGGCAGCTCTTTGCTGTACTTGTGTTCATGTCAGAGGCAGATTTGCTGTGTCAGGTGCTTTGTAATCCTGAGGGTCTGAGAGGCAGTGCAGGAAGAGGGGTGGAGCAATGAGGATGTGGTCTGGTGCTGTGAGGAACTACAGGGGCAGCTTAACGTGGCAAATATTCCATCTATTTCCCTTATTAATGAACCCTAAGAAGATGATGAATTCTGGGCTTTGTTGAAATTGTGTTTGTTTATAGCAATTTAGAAAAGGCAGCTCCTTACAAGGCCAGACTTCTTTCTGCCTGATGTGTGTCTCAGGCACAATTTCATCCTTTGCAGGCTGCATCAGCAGGGTGAGAACCTTGCTGTCATCAATGAGCCCAGGTCTAGCACGGGATTATTTTGTGGGCTGTGGTCCTGCTAGAAAAGAGGGTGAAGTTTATTTTGGTGTTCAACCTGTGTAGCATTCACATTCTCTGAAACAATCCCTTCGCCCAGGATTTTTCTCCTGGGAAGCTGAGAAGCCTCAGAGAAAAGGAAAACAATTCTTATCTCATTTGCTTCTCCTGTGTTTTGCTGCTTTGGAATATGTTTGGAGATTGTTTACCCACAGGGGATGGTTCCATTGGTTTCATGTGAGTTGTTTTCACTCTTTGGCCAATTGGGGCCAAGCTGTGTCAGGACTCTGGAAAGAGTCAGGAGTTTTCATTATTATCTTTTTAGCATTCTGTAAGTATCCTTTCTGTATTCTTTAGTATAGTATAGTATTCTTTAATATAATATAGTATCACAAAATCATAAATTAGCCTTCTGAGAACATGGAGCCAAATTCATCATTCCTGCCTTCATCTGGACATTCCCAGCAAATACAAAACACCTGAGCATTGAGAGCTAGGGATGCTGTTGTGTTATCTAGCTGTCTTTTGTAAGTGTGAATTCTATAGGGTAAGAAAAATGAAGGAGATATGAAGAGTTTTCTGTAATTAAAGGTAGATCAGAACATGGAAACAAGTGGTTAGGAGGAGGCTGGGACTGCTTTGCCTCTAGCACAGCAGTGTTGCATTAACCCAAAACTTGTCCATGCACAGGTTTGGTTTAGCAAACAGCTCAGATCTCCCCTGACAACAGAGTAGCAGTGTAGGTTGTCAAGTAATGCAGGTAATCTACA